AAACCCGCTCCAATTTTTTTCAACAGAAAAGTTCACGCTTCTTGGCGCGTCTTAATGTCACTCTGCTAAATGTACACCTGATGTATGGTCAAATTACGAAAAACCTCCTTTGGGTAATTACAACCACCCATCAACTATAAATTTTCTTACGCGATCACCATTGCGGTTCAAATTTAGTGAAAGCTTGGAGATTATATGGAGTATTCTCAATTTTATACCAGTTTTATTCCATTCGAGCTCCACATAGGGATGGCAATGGGTACGGGTTTGGCGGGTCTTGGACCCGGAAGGGACCCGTTTGGGGCGGGTCTGGGTCAGCTAAATGGTTCTGAGTCGGATAATGGGTCTAAGTTTCTAGAACCGGATGGTTCTAGGTCGGGTTACGGGTCTTATTGGAACCGACCCAGAACCAACCCGTATATATATATATATATATATATATATATATATATATATATATATAATTTCGAGTTTCATTTATCAAACTATCAATTTCCATCTTGTCTATTCTCATTTACCTATTTTCACTGTTTTATTTTTCGGTTCTCTTTTCTCGTGAGTAATATTTATGACTTGTCGACCACCGCTAATTGTGTTCCATTTTGAATTTTACTTATTATCGAAATTAAATATAATCAATTGTAATTTTATTGTTTATGTTATGACACTTAAAGAGATTTTTTTAAAATATTGTATTTTAGTATTGAGATTATTTCGTAAAAATATACAAGCAAAATGTTATGAAAGTTAAAAAATATTAAACTTTTTGTATGTTAATGGGCGTAGCGGGTCTGGCGGGTCGGAACCGTTTAGTTAGGGTTTGGGTTGGGGCGGGTCTAGGTCTAAGCTTAAGCGGGTTGGGGCGGGTCTTGGGTTTATATATTTTTCGTGGGTCGGGTCTTGGGTTTAGGCCAACCCGGCCCAGAACCGACCCGTTGCCATCCCTACCTCCACATTGGGGATCATAAGATATGTTTTTTGACTCGTAAAAATCAGATTGTGGTGCATCAGACACTGTATTTTTGCACATAACGAGTACAAACTAGATAACAACCCACATAATGTAGATGATTATGTTGAATTTAACACCAAAATAATAGAGATGTAAGTGATTCATAGTTGAGGAATATATGTAATTATTCAAATAAGAGAGTTTTTTCGTAATTTGACCATACTCACGGAATGGTTGTAATTTACCCTTAAATGTAATATCTTGAAATCAAGAACTATTCAAAAGTAGAAACAGCTAAACAAAGATTACAAAACCAAAGAACATCCAAATCTAAATATCCTTTTTTTTCCAGCCAAATGCAATAAACTACCACCACTTCAAAAGTCTAAATCAAACTATATTTCAAATCATCTGAAAGTATTTTTCTTTCACATAAATATGAAATTAAACTGTACAGTAATCCGGTAATCGGAAACAAACAAGTTCATCTATCTTCCTATAACTTTATGTACCGAGTTTTAAATAAAATATGTACAATAAATAGCAGTTCAGAAGATCACTACTTCCAAACCTTTATGGCGCCGTCTCTGCTGCTTGATATGAGAAGTCTCTGGTTCAATTTGACTGAAGCCAAAGAGAGTATAGAATCGTGGTGACACCCTGCAGAATCCGTGGCGGCAGCCGCCAGTATTGTTTTTCCGGTCAACCTCGTTGCTAGAGGTCGTCTTTTTGCTTCCTGTTTACATTCAGGAAAGTAAAAAAAAAAATTAAGCACCGAGTACAAAGATACGAGAATGTGATAATTTCCATCAGCTTAAAATAAATTGAATAATCACCACAACCCCGCATCACTCGTAAAATAATATACCTGCACGACTTGCACACCAAAGCTAGACTTGGTCTCGTAGAAATCATCGTTTCCGACGCCTTTAATAGATGGTCCGCATACACAGTAGCTCCTGTCCGGGCTGCACGCACGATCAAAAACGTCAATAAACGCAATTTTTTTTACGAAAGTAAAAAGAAGCAAAAAAATAAAAAATGAGTACCTGCAATGATCCCACCGACGTATTTTCAAGTCAGTTCCACCAGTCAACAGATCTCCACCAGGCAAAGGAAGCAATGCACGGATACCCGGTACGCGTGAAGAAGGTTCGTTGAGCTCATCAATTCTGTACTTGGAATTCATACTTCGCCTCGGGTCTGGTTTAGTGTTCGTCTTGCCAGATGGTCTGGTCAAAGCCCATGGTGACTCACTATTCTCCATATCAGAGTCATGGTTCGATGCCCTCAAAACCTGCAAATCGAGAAGAATTGTTTCACTAGAGAGTATGCCGTAAAAACATTTATGATTCACATACATGTAACACTATAGCAGAAATCTTGTATACCTGGTGACAGCTCCCATTTTCTGCATTCCAAAGAGAAACCTCGTTGCAGCCAGCTGCAACATAAACGAGCGGCCTTGTGGCAACAGACAAAGGAGTACCAGAAGGAGGAACAAAAAGGCACATATTTTCAATAGGGCAAGCAAGAGAATATTTCCACGAGTTGACGGGTATGCAGAATCTGAGATCCCATAGAGTAAGCACACCCCTTGACGATCCAGATACAAACCAATTACCACACGGGTCCGCCACCACGGAGGATATATACCCCTCCTCAGGAGAAACCTTGGTATTCCAACCAATCGAACTCGTCCTCGTATCCCAAAGATGAATCCCGCAGTTTTGTGTGCTATACAGTACCATTTTGCTAGTGCTACCATCAGCCGAATAATTCAAAAGACTGAGTATAGCACCTTCTCCAACACTAGTCTTTTTCACATCAGCAATACCGGAATAATTTTCAACAACATTTCCGAGCCCTCTAGAGATGTGGTCAACTGAAAACATATGAATCATCCCATCACTTGCCCCAGCGACAATTTGAGTCGAGCCTTGAAGCACCGTAACACACATTGCTCGACTCCCCCCAAGAGAGTAGGTTAGCCTAGACCGAAACGAGATGTCCTTCTCCAGCTTCTTGCAATCCCAAATCTTTACAGTTGAATCTTCAGAAGCACTGACGAAAAACTGCTGGTCCATTGAAATAGAAATGTCGTTTACAGCAGATCTGTGCTCTTGTAGATGAGCAACCAACACCCCGCGAGGCCTCCACCCTGAATCGGGAATGGTTGACGACCATGCTAATGACGACAATTCTGTTGCCTCAGCCGACGAGGAGGAGTGATCGCCCGTTGCGAGAGAGCTCCCTTTCATCCTGTCAGGCACTCCCATCTCGTGAAATTTGCTACTGATATAAGCTGTTTCGTCAGTTTCTCGATCTTCTACTTCATGCACAACTCTTCTCAATAGTGCAGGGCCATTACCAACAAAAAGTGACCCGGACACAAGCTTAGGGGATGGTATCGAACTTGCTAAACTGAACGATTTGTTTGCTGGATCCATCCAAGGCAAGGATGAAGTACTGAGACCTAAGGAATTATATGGTAAAGAAGAATCGGAAGCAGCTGCACCAGTGCCCGATATTCGCTTGTTGTCAACCTTAAAGTGGTACAAAGGAATGCTTTCTGATGATTTGTCGATAAAGCTGTTCATGCAACTCATTTGAGGCGACATGAATCCTGACAGTTGAGACTTTTCTGAGGCAATACGGTCACGGGCTTCCTCTTCACTCAAAGTATTTTGCGTTAAGTTTCTAATAGCTTTGAACTTGCTCTCATTACCATCGAAATTAGTTGAAACCGTTTGTTCCCCTGTGGTGTAGGAAAAGCTATGACGAATATCATTTTGTCTGTCGGACCAACACTTAATTGGATCCAACTCCCTGGCAGTTTTCTGAAGTAGGTCTCCAGCTTCAGATTTGTTAGACTCCGACGATATATTATACCATATCTTTCTCTGTCTCCCCACCATGTCTGAACTTTGGGCATTTTCTAGAACTTGATGATACAGTTCTTTGGAGACGGGTGGCTTCAGACATGCAAGAAGGGCTTTTTCTGAGGCTAATGATGCTGGCTGTCTACGTAACAATGGCCGTATAACTGGGACAAGAAATACATAAGAATCAACTGCACCTAAGTTCTCGCTACTAGCTGCAATAAATGCGACTGCCGACCTTCTTACCCAGTTACTGGGATAGCATAGCAAAGGAAAAGCACGCTCTATCATGTCAAGCAGGACCCTCTTCCGCAAGAAACCACTTCTGCACAGAATGGCCAAGCAATCTAATGATTTTACAATGACAGACTCGGTAATATCATGTAGAGCCTGCTCAATGTAAGGTAAGAGATATTCCTCTACGCTTCGTTGGCCCACAAAGAAACAGACAAATATTATTTGCCCATAGAATACAGCCCTGAGCTGTTCATCTCGATCATTTAGAAAAGCAGGAAGGATAGGCAGCAAAAAGTCATTGCTCTGCTTCTGCCCAAAAAACCAACAAAGGTTGCCAATATCCTGCAGGAGTGCTCTTCTTATGTTTGGTGTCTGCTTTGGACCCATTACAAGTTCTTGAATAACCTCTGCAATAGATTTTCTCAACTGAGCAAGCTGTGCATCATTGTTCGGTTTCTTGGGCTCTGCAGAAGTGTACGTGGCCTGTGTAGATGACTTCCGGGATAGATTTGTCTCGTTAAGTACCCCTGCCTCTGTCAAGCTTATTGAGTGAATTAAGAAACCATAAGCAGTTAGCGCCAGTTTAGATATATTGCTGGCGTAGCAAATCCGCACACTCTCCTCAGAATCATCAGGAAGCATGGAAAGCATTGGAAGGATGTACTCCGGAAAAATTTTGGCGTCACTCGGAGGAAAATCTCTGACTAGAGGAAGAATGTCACACAGAGTCTCTAACGCGGCGCATCGGACGATCGCAGCTGGGTCTGAAAGCACGGCTATCACATAAGGAAGGATGCGCTGCAGTCGATCTTCGTCGTCAATATACAAAGAGCACGATTTCAGCATAAGGACAGCAGCCCTCCTTATATAAGGGACCTTGACATTACGAATGCAGGAACAAAGAAGTGAAGCAATCAAAACCATACCCTCACAGCTTAAAATATCCTGAGGTAATGGTAAAAAAGGCATTCCAAATGTATCAGATTGATTGTTGTAATCCGATATCAATGAGCTCAAGTCGGTCATTGTAATCTTTTTTAAGAAAGGATGGTGACTTCGGTGGAATATATTTGAGATACTTTGAATCAGCTCACCAGGTGATTGCAGACCATAGTGCTGCTGATTTTGAGAATTTACAGTCTTGACCACACTATCTGGCACGGACTTAATACCAAAATGTGCATTGTTTTGTTTCACATCCCTAAGCAGGGTATTCACATCACCAAGAAGATCAAACCGATCGTGACTTGAGCTCTTGTTGGACTCTTTTCTTTCGCTCAAAGATTTATCTGCCCTATTAGAATCTTGCTTTGCACCCATTGCTTTTGGCATTTGAGCTCTATCGTCAAAAGTCGTTTCACAGATCATATCCTCACCGCTCATTTTGCCCGTCATTTGTCTAAGTATTTCTTGGAAAGAGGTCTCACATGCCAGAACCTGCAGAGAGATTACATAAATTAGAAGCACAATAACTAGGCGCCGAGGGGATTCTGGAGAGAGGGTTTTCCATGTTCCTTACCCTTGCATCCGAACTCAAAGGATTCAAGAAGGAGTAGAATTTATGAAGGAACGGTGAGAAATATATTGGAAACACAACCCCTGCATAGTTCTGCAGGTAGCTCTCAGCAGAGCATCTTGACTCCGGATCCAATTGAATCATGTGAAGAATCATCTTACGTATTCCTGAATCTGGGATCTGCAGTCATGCATGTGACAAAACAATCACTTAATTTAGAGGCCAATTGAAATGAAACTAGACTCTTGGAGTAAACTTTTACTGATTGATTGAGTTCTTATCAGATTAGACGTTATTCGCAGAATAACGGGTCACACTAAAAGCAATTGGAAAGTTTGTATGATTAAAAATCTTTTAGAAACAATCATCCTTGCACGAGAAGGTACCTTTTCCAGATGCTGGGTTGGATCATATTGTCCTCTGCGATATGCAAGCAGTTGAGAGAGTTCAAACAATGGTTGACCTTCAAGAAATAGCTCAGCAATAACACACCTGAAACAAAAAGTTGTGAAATTCAAGTGCTTCAATGCAAGATGGATAAAGCCCCACTGACAAAAGATATTACTATTGGCAAATCCAGAAGACATAATTAAGAGTGCATCCTCAAACTAAAGCTCCTTAGAAATAATTTAGGCGAGAAGAATTACTGCTATTAAAGTTTCCCATCCATGCTTCAAATGATTTTACCGTATTTTGCAGTCTAATAAAGACTCGCCATTTTTGAGTCAATTCTTCACATCAATATCTAAATAAGAATTCTGCAGGAATTATTGTCTGAAGTAAAAATAGCATCCGTGAGGAAGAAACTTACCCTACAGCAAAGATGTCCATAGAGGGCTTGAGAACTGCATCTTGTACCACTTGTGCCTCACCTCCATGCTCATAGAACCTCTGAAAATATAGCTCGTATTATTTGATAATCATCACACTGGAAATAGAAACCTCGCTCACACAATATAAAAACAACAGAGAAAACACACCTCTGGTGCAACATAACAGCGTCTTCTTCCTCCAGTATCAAAAAAGAACGAAAAATCAGAGGGATCGTCATACGGGATATATATAGGCTTAAATGATGCAAAATCAGCAAGGTAGAGCCAATTCCAGGAAGTAACCAACACATTCTCACATTTAATGTCGCCTGCAACAAATTACATATACTTTCAAATATTTAAAATAGAAAAAAGGAAGTAGAACACAGACAGAACTTGCAGGAACATGCAAACTAATTTAACTGTTCATCTCACCATGACATACCCCATGCTCATGGCTCTGCTTCACAGCATAAAGCAACTGCAAAATGCAGTAAGTGAGATTTCATTCCCTACTTTTTTTTGATACAATTTCCAATACTCGTTCCATGAACAAGATTAAACAAACAGAGGGAGAGAGGGACCTGAAAAGCCAGCCATTTCTTTTCAACGAGGCTGAGGAAAGGGCGAGTGCTCAATCGATCATGAAGATTGTTAAAGAAGTATTGCCTCAACAAATAAGCAGCTTTATCTGTTTCAAGCCAAAACTGCAAAATAAATCCGAAAATAAAAATTTAGTATGGAACTGTTTGGAAATGAGAACCTATTAGAGTGATGAAATTCAAAACAACTAAGACTTAAAAAACAAATCAGAACAGACAACTTACAGAAAATGAACAGTTTGCGAATGGAAGCTTTACTGTTTTCTTGATATCAAAAGCAATATACCAAATCTTTGTTCATTCTACTTTTTCAGAAGCAATTATTTTTTAAACTTTTGTAGCAAAGAACGATCATCTTCTTTCTTTTAAATAACAATTTTTGGATTTGCTTTCGGACTCTTGTGGCATTAGTGTATTGTCTAATCTATGGACTGAAGTAATCCCTAAAGATGCATTACAGTTTATTTACTAATTAATTGCAAGGCAACCATAAAAGAGACTCAGCAGCTATTCCACGATTTGTTTGCTTAGAGTTATTTGCTCACTAAGTATTCACTCCGCAGACAGTTTCAACTTACTAAAACCTCAAACATTTATATAGAGGAATCACTTCCACAAGCTTCTCAATGAGTGAACTGGAACAAAAACGGACTTGGGAAACAATGAATTAAACTAAAACTTGTTACCTATATTTGATGAGTTGTCTTCCAATTTCCGAGAATGATACTTTAATAGGTCAGTTCACAAACTCCCTATACGGTTATAAACCAAAAAATCGAAAAAAAGCTGAAATTTTCCACACGCACCTATCGACCTCTGGTAATAAATAGTCCCATAGAAATTGAAAAATACGTATCCACAAACTCGTCCCTAGAATTAAATTTCCCTTTTTTTCCACGAAAAGAACGTACTAAATCCAATATTTCTTCTCCCTCCAAATTACTTAACACAATTCGTACCAAATTCGAAAAAAGCTGAAATTGTCCACACGCACCTATCGACCTCTGGTAATAAATAGTCCCATAGAAATTGAAAAATACGTATCCAACAAACTCGTCCCCAGAATAAAATATCCCTTTTTTCCACGAAAAGAACGTACTAAATCCAATATTTCTTCTCCCTCCAAATTAATTAACACAATTTCTACCAAATTCGAAAAAAGCTGAAATTTTCCACACGCACCTATCGACCTCTGGTAATAAATATTCCCATAGAAATTGAAAAATACGTATCTACAAACTCGTCCCTAGAATCAAATTTCCCTTTTTTTCCATGAAAAGAACGTACTAAATCCAATATTTCTTCTCCCTCCAAATTACATAACACAATTCGTACCACCAGAGCATTAAAAATTGAAACTTCAATCACCTCAAATTAAACTAATAAAATTCGAGACAATAAACGAAAAGAGATGACTAACCTGGAAGGGCCAGACATGGGGGTGTTCGAGTTTGGAGAAGATGTCCCTAATGCGCGTGAGGCAGCGCTCGTACTCGCGCAAATCAACAGAGTCGCCGCGCTTGAAGTAGACCTTGACGAGCACCAAACCCTCGTCGTGCTTGCAGAGTATGGATTTGAGGAATCGGTCCCTCCCCAGGACTTCCTTCAGCACCAAGTTGTACGACGACGGCAAATCGTGCAGATAGTACTCCGTCGCCGACGCCTGCGTCGTCCGGGCGATCTTGTTCCCCATCACCCCTCAATTTTATTTTTCTCCGGCGAATTTTGATTTAAATTTAAATAGCAGTCATTAATTTAAGGAATTTGGGGGTTTAGGGGTTGGGGTGTGAGAATTAATGGAGAGGAGCTGCTGCCATGGAATTGGGGATTGGGGATTGTCTTCGTTTTTACTATTGGTTCCGTGTATATGAATCTATTGGAGTACAATTATCTATGCAGCGCGTACTAACGAACAAATTTCGGGGGGATTGAATTATAATTTAGAGCAGGACATGGGCCGGGCCGGGCCGGTCCGGGCCGGATCAAGTAAAACTATTATCAACCCGACCAACCCTACTATTGTAGCTCGGGTTTGTAAAAGAAAAAAATCAGCCCAACTCAATAGAAGCGGGTTATTAGTAAATTAGCAAACTGCACCTGCTCGATTACACTCCCTAAGTGTGCGGTTCGGGTGTTGCGGGTGAAGTGGATTGAACAACTTTCTCCGAGTGTTTTTATTTTTCTACTATTGTCAATGCCTATAACTCGCCCAATCAAACATATATGTAGTATAAAATCATAAAATGTCTATCGTATTCTTGAATTCTCTCGACTCTGCACATTTTTACTTTATTTTATAAACTCTCACATGGTTTCTGTAGGAACTCTTCATCACTAGAACCGCATCTGAAAGAATTTATGGTCCCGAATTCGTTTAATACAGAGGTGTTGTTGAAGGTGTTATGACACTTGAACAAACAAGCAGCGGAAATATAAAGACAAAAGAACAATACTCAGAATTAAAAATGTTCACAAGTAAAGACTTGTGAACTTGCCCTTTACAGGACGGAAAATATATTAAAATCAGTATTCCAAGAATACAAACAGAAGAGTGTGAAAACTTCTTCCTTATGAGTGAATCTTTTTCAAGGTCACTCTTACAACCAAATCTAGATACTAAAAGAAAGATATCAAAAATTCTAGATTTCAAAGAATGTACTTATAAATAGTACGTACAACAGATCCTAGAAAACACACTAAAATTCTCGAGATTAAAACTTCAGCTCTCTATTTTGTTTTCTCGAAATCTGTCATAATCTTGAGTCTTGAGTTTGATATTTATAGACTTGCCAAGCTTCCACTCTTCAGCCCATGATCTGCAAGAAAACCAACCACAAGAGCACTCAAGATAATGGGTTAGTGGGTTAGTTAGGAAGTTAAGATAAATCCCATAATTAAATCCACTAAGCACTACTTAACCCTACTAAGCCCACTAACTAAGATTTAGTTTAGAAGTTAAGAAAAGTTAAAAACACATTGTGAAATTAATTCACGTGTTTCAAACTCCCCCTTTTTAACTTTCTGATCAAAACTAAATCTTAGTCAAAGACTCCCCCTGAGATATTGCTTGAACTCCCCCTGAATTTGATACCATTTGAAAAACATAGAAACAATAAATTAAAACCAAATTCAGCAAGATAGTCCAACAAAAGAAATAATCAAAGTGCAGTCCTAAACAAAAGTTCAGAGGGAAAATAAACAAAACACAAAAATATTGTTCATGAAAACAATCTAAAGTAAAATATCCAAAGTCTCCAAGGTCTCCTCAGTTTCAGCTGCTGCTCCTCCTCCATCACTAGATCCACTGCTTTCTTCTTGAGCTTCCCCCTCTTTCTTTGCCTCCTCTTCATTGACTCCTTGCTCTCTGCCTCTAGCATCCAAGGGATGAGATGTTCCTGCTTCAGTTTCATGATCTTTTTCTCCCCCTTTTTGATCAGAAAGAGCCTTCTGAATCATCTCCACCATGGACTGATGATAGGTAATCTGAGCTAGAGAATGAGTAAGCTGCTGCAATAGAAGATCTCTAGGAACAGACACAAGAAGGTTAGAAGTGTTGTCAACATGAGGTGCAACACCCTCAGTACCAATGTTATTTTGACCTGATTCAGTTGAGAGAAAATCATCTCCATTCCAAGGAAGATCTTGAACATGAGGAGCCCTCAGAAAATTTTGAGACACAGTGATCATGCCTTGTGGGGTGTGAAGATATTCTGAGGCATCTTGGCCCAAGTTTTGAGAGAGTAAGATGGAATATATGAGAGAAGGATAGGGGAGGTGAGTGGAGGGTGAAATTTTCTGGGCAAGATGACCAATAGTATCAAAGAACAGTTTGCCAAAATCCACTGGTAAACCCATCCCCAATTTGTACATGAGTACAGCATGAGGCTTAGTTACCACAGAGACATTTTTGGATGGAATCCAATTAGCCACTGTGAGTCTAAACAGGACAGAGTAGAAAGCAGTGAGTAGAGAGACTTGAAATTTTCTTGGGTGTGCAGGCCAATTTCTTAAACGGTTTCCAGAAATAACTTTGCAAATCTCAGTAAAATCACCATAATTATCCTCATCAATCACAGTAGGAGTTTGTAAATGAGAGTTGATAACTTTGGGAGAAAAAGAATAAATGGCATTGCGCACAAAAACTTTGCCAGAGTTTGGAGAGTTTTTCTTTAAAAAGGAGGTTTGCAAATTGGCATAAAACTCTTTCACAACCAAGGGATCATAAGAGCAGGCAATCTCAACTAGGTTAAGGATTTTTCTTTGGTGAAGAAAAGCTGTTATCCTATGCCTATCAAATTCTTCCTTAGAAATTTTCTTTTCCTCAATGAAATGACAATTCATGACTTGAGGACTCAACAATGAATCAGACTCAAAATAGAAATTAGGACTGAAGGCATTTGTTACCTCAAAAGGGATTGACAAGTTCTTCCCATCCAGGTCTGGTTCTTCTTCTTCTGCGGAATCATCATCTTCTGAATCTTCAAGCTCATCAGGGACATATGCTGGTTCAGGTGATGCAGCACGTGGGGCAACACCTTCTTCCTGCTGAGAAGAGTCTTCAGAGGATTCACTGTCGGAATCAGAAGAGGACAAGTTTTTGCGAAAAGTAGCTAGTGGAACCTCCCAACTGTCTTCACTTTTCTCTGATTCTTCAGCCTGAGGAGGAATTGTATCTGCTTGAGCTGCTGCTTCTGCCAGGGTTTCCAGAGGATCTCCCTGAGGTGCTGATGGAGTTTCTTCTGTAGTGGTGAACTCCTGAGCATCGACAAATGGAATGTCTACATGCTCTGCTGATGACATTCCAGAGAAATCAGGCATTTCTTCATCCTGATAAGGGGCAGCATCCTCAGCAGCATTCTGAGGAACATTCGCTGAACCAGTAGGTGCAGCAGCATCTTCTGGAGCATGTGCAGCAACACCTTCAGAGACAGGTGCAGCAACACCTTCTGAGCCAGGTGCAGCAACACTTTCTGAAACAGGTGCAGCAACACCTTCTGAAACAGGTGCAGCAACACCTTCAGGAACAGAATGTTGAGAGGCTGCTGTTGCCATGCTGGGCTGCGACGTCTCCCCCTGAGTTGATGCTGGGGAAGGTGAGTTGTTGGATGAAGACTCAGAGGAGCTGGAAGACAAGGCTTGAGCCTGTGGTGCAGCAAAGGTAGGATCCCCTGCTTCGTCATCAGTTTCTTCATCTACCAGATGAAGACCTCTTCGTGGGTTTGACTGGACTGGAGTACGGCCACCTCTGCTTCCTCTTCTTCCACCTCTGCTTCCTCTCCGGGGAGAGTTTTCTCCTCTTCGGCGTTGTGGCACCGCAGTGTTCAGATCTGGAAAAGGGTTCGTGCGCTTTGACCGGCGCGTTGGAAATCTTCCGGCGGTGGAAGAGGGACCCACAAAATCAAAGTTGTCTGGGTCAATCGGGTTCAGCTCGTCGCCGGGCTCAATGTAGCTGATAGGAACAGCTTCAAAGTTGATTGGATGAACGATGATGGCCAGATTTGGGTCTGCTGGTACAGGTGCTGCAGCATCGTTGTGGACATCACCATCGACGGCTGGAGGAGGATTTCTAGGTGGGGATGCCATGATACAGTAGATAAAGTAAAATTGCTTCTTTGTGCTTTTGATTTTTGAGTGTGAATTTTGTGAGAAGAAGCACGAAATTTATAAGCCCTAATTTTTTGCTGAAGAAGAAAGAAAAAAATTGAAGTGGAGAAGGTGAAGAAGTGGTGTCCGTTTTTCTTGGGGAGAGTGTGATTAAGGAGAATAAAATTTCCTTGGCAGTTTAAAATAAAAACGTGACACATGGCACAATAAGGAGTGGACTTAGTGGAAAATAAGGAATTAACCCATGTACCCATGACCCATATAAATAGGGATAATTAAAATGAAAAGAGAAAAAACAATAAAACCGTAGCACTCAAGAAATATTCACAAATAATAGAAAAAAAACATTTATTAATGATTAATAGTGAGAAAAATTTGCTGACAGGCATAGATACTATTATATATTTATATATTTATTATTATACATATATATATATATATATATATATATTTTTTATTTTATTTTATTTTATTTTTTTTTTTTTTTTTTTTTTTTATAATAATATATATATATATAAACTCTTATTTTCAAGTCAAACAATTCACATGGAACATGATCAAGTGTTCAGTTTGAAGGTTCCTCAGTTACTAAGATATGACTATCAAAATAGAGGAGTTTGACTTATGTGAGTGTAATTATTTGTCTAAATGTTTACATGAAGCATGATCACGTTTCAAGGTGAAAGACTTCCAGTTACTGATTTAGAAAATAATACATCACAGTGAAGTCATTATTTAATGAAGCTAATGCTTCAGTAAATTGTGTTGCAGCTTAAGATATTTGATGAGGTGCTGCAACACGTTTCAGGACATGTTTATTGAGTACACATCCCGAGAGATTTTCTGAGTTTTGAAAACCTCTCATAATCTAATGCCTTTGTAAAGATGTCAGCCAGCTGATCTTCTGTAGGAATGTACTTTAAGCACACTATATTTTTCTCAACTATATCACGAATAAAATGATGTTTAATATCTATGTGTTTAGTTCGTGAGTGTTGAACGGGATTTTTTGAAATGTCAATAGCACTTGAATTATCACAATATATGGTCAGGGTATCACTGGTTAACCCATAATCTCCCAACATTTGTTTCATCCAAATTAGTTGACCACAACACCCTCCAGCAGCTACATATTCTGATTCAGCTGTTGAAAGAGATACACAGTTTTGCTTTCTACTAAACCAAGAAACTAGATTATTCCCCAAAAAGAAACATGCACCTGATGTGCTTTTTCTGTCACTAATATCCCCAGCCCAATCAGAATCACTAAAGCCTATCAAGTTTGTATTTGTGTCTTTGAAAAACTGAATCCCTAAGTCTACTGTACCTGCAACATACCTAATAATCCTCTTCACAGCTTTAAGATGGGTGACCTTGGGATTTGCTTGATATCTGGCACACACACAAACACTAAACATAATGTCAGGCCTGCTTGCTGTTAGATACAGAAGACTTCCAATCATGCTTCTGTAGAGAGTGCTGTCAACATCTTCTGCAACATCATCCTTGGACAGTTTTTGGCTGGATCCCATTGGAGTTTTCATGTGCTTGGCTGATTCCAACTCAAACCTTTTAACCAGATTGAGAGCATACTTCTTCTGATTAACAAACATTCCTTCACTTGTCTGTTTGATTTGGAGTCCTAAGAAGTAATTCAACTCCCCTACCATACTCATTTCAAAAGTGTGAGACATTGAATCTACAAAAGACTGTAAAAGGTTAGCACAAGTAGAGCCAAAAACAATGTCATCAACATATATCTGAACAATAATGATATGATTATTAGTTCTTCTAACAAATAGGGTTCTGTCTGCCTCCCCTCTATTGAACTGTATTTCAAGTAAGAAGTCAGTGAGTCTTTGATACCATGCTCTAGGAGCTTGTTTAAGACCATACAGTGCCTTCTTAAGCTTGAAAACATGATTAGGCTTGGCAGAATCTTCAAAACCCTTTGGCTGTTCAACATATGCTTCCTCATTTAAAACCCCATTCAGAAATGCACTTTTGATATCCATCTGATACAGTTTGATTTTAAGAAAGCAGGCTATAGCAAGAAGTAATCTAATTGATTCAATTCTAGCTACTGGAGCAAAAGTCTCATCAAAGTCTATACCCTCAATTTGAGTGTATCCTTGTGCTACTAACCTAGCCTTATTTCTAACAACTGTACCTTTTTCATCAGTTTTGTTTTTGAAGATCCACTTAGTCCCTATCACATTTACATGGCTTGGTCTGGGAACTAAGTACCACACATCATTTCTGATGAATTGATTCAACTCTTCATGCATTGCATTTACCCAGAATTCATCCTTCAGAGCTTCTGCAATATTCCTGGGTTCCACTGAAGACACAAAACAAGTGGTTCCAGTTAGTGCACATTCAGAAGATAAATTAGCAAATCTTACCATATCTCTGTAGTTCACTCTCTCTTTTCTTCTGGTTCTTATTCCACCAAAGATATCACCCACTACTTGAGTTGATGGGTGATTTTTCTGGATTCTGCTTGATGGTTCCTTTCTGCAGACATCTAGGGTTGGTTGCAACTCAGTCTCTGTAGGATGTGTTGAGTCAGATGTGGTGACACTTGGCTCAGCACCTTCTTCTCTTAAGACTGGACTGTTTGTGTCTGGGCTTTCTGTGCAGAAGTGTCTTCTTCTGTTGTTTCCCTTTCAGCAATCAAGTCATCAACTTCATCTTCAGCTGTTTTACTGCGGAGATCAGCAAAGTCATCAAATACCACATTTACAGATTCAATAATGGTTCGAGTTCTTAGATTGTATACTCTATAAGCATGACTGTTATTAGAGTATCCCATAAACAAGCTCAAATCACTTTTTGAATCAAATTTAGCTAGATGATCTCTATCATTTAGAACATAGCAGACACACCCAAACACATGCATGTATTCTAGATTAGGTTTCTTACCATAAAGAATTTCATATGAAGTCATCATAGATCCTAATCTTAGATACACACGGTTTGAGATGTGACAGGCTGTGTTGACAGCCTCAGCCCAAAACCTTTTAGACAAATTTTTTGCACTCATCATCACCCTAGCCATTTCCTGAATAGTTCTGTTTTTCCTTTCAGCAATGCCATTTTGCCGAGGAGTTTTTGGAGCAGAAAATTCATGCTTTATTCCCTTTTTATTACAAAAAGCAAAAAATAAAGCATTCTCAAATTCTTTTCCATGATCAGATCTTATCCTACGAACAGAAACTTGAAATTGAGTTCTAACAAACCTGTACAAATTTTTGAAAACTTCAAAGGTGTCTGATTTTTCTCTCAAAAAATACACCCAAGTATATCTTGAAAAATCATCAACACATACAAAGACATATTTTTTACCACCTAGACTTTCTACCTCTATAGGACCCATAAGATCCATATGTACAAGTTCAAAACAAATAGTGGTACCAACGTGTTGCAACACTTTGTGTGGTACTCTGGTTTGCTTTCCCTTCTGGCACATTCCACATATAGGAATATCCTTGATCTTGAGATCTGGTACTCCTCTTATGGCATTGTACTTGTTGAGAAGCTTCAGATTCTTGAAGTTTGTATGTCCTAGTTTCTGGTGCCACAGCTCTACTTCACTTACTCTTGAACTCTTGCATGAGATGGTGTCACCTGTTTGATAGCAATTATCCATTGATCTGGAACCTGTAAGTACACAATGATTTTGATTATCAAACACAGAACAACAGTATTTATCAAATTCTACACGTAGATCATCATCACACAATTGACTGATACTAATGAGATTTGACCCCAATCCTTCAACATGTAAAACATTTGAGAGTTTTGGAAGCCCCTCAATACTGAGTGTTCCACATCCAACCACTTTGCCTTTAGCTCCTCCTCCATAGGTTACACGTCCTCCATTAAGTGTGTGGTAGTTTGATAGATATTCCTTTGTTCCAGTCATGTGCCTGGAGCATCCACTATCAAAGTACCATGAACCTGAAATGTTAGCATTTAAAGAGGTGTACACTGCTTTGCACAAAAATTTACCTTTGGGAGTCCATATTTTACACTCCTTTTTGGTAGATTCTACCTTTTTCTTTGACATGTTCCTTGAAGTGTTGTGGCTTATTTTATACAACATTTGTCACTGCTAAGTTTTTCACAAAATGGACGAATGTGTCCTGGTGAGAAACAGTAATGACAAACATAACCTTTTATTCTGGAATCTGGAGTGGTGACTGTGGACTTCCTGCAATCCTTTCTGTTTGCACCCTTCTCTTTTACAAAGACAATTTCTTTCTTCTTAACTGGCTTCATTTGTTTTTTGAACCCTAGCCCTTCATGTTTGTAGTGCTTCTCCATTGACACAATCTCTTCGAGCTTAGTTGTGCCAGTGTTCATCCTCTTGATTGCTAGAGTTGCCTTTTTGAGTTCTTCTTTCACTTTTGCCAGTTCAAGATCCTTCTTGGTGATTCCAACCTCCAAATGTGTGATTGTTTCTTTGAGGGAGGAATTTTCTTTGTTGGCTGCATCTAGAGCTTGAGTCTTATTCTCCAAGTTTCTGATCAGCTTTTTATACATTTCTTCATCATCACTGACTGCTTCATTACTGGATTCTGCTGCATTCACAGAAATAGAGTTTAAACATGTATATTGATCAGTATTTAACTCACAAATTGAAAGTGTTTCAGAAAGTGTTGCAGCATCCAGGGAGACTCTTTGGGATTCTGTTTCAGTGGAACTTCCGGTAAGATATCTGACAGAAAGAGCTTGTTTAGAGGATTGCTGTTCCTCTGTCTGTTCAGGTTGTTCTTCCTCCTCATCACTGACAGCACAAATCAAACTCATTCCTCTCCTTCTCAAGGTATTTGCACATTCATTAGCATAATGTCCAAATCCTGAACAGGCCCTGCATTTAATATGATCCAAGTTAGGTGGTTCAGAATTTGAACGAATAAAAGAAGAATTTTTTAAATTGTTTTGAGAAGGTGTTTGAGGAAATGTTCTCTGTGGAATAGATCTGTTCCGGGGCTGAGTTTGTCGATTTTGTGGAGACCCTTCTGAGTATAACTGCCTGGGCTTGAT